CTTTGGAGCTAAAGACAGTTCAGTCTCATTCAACCAGCAAAGATTTTGGTCCAATTTTCAGTAAGCAATCTAGCTTAATAGCCTAAACTAAAAGCAGCAACCCGGTTTTTTGTTTTGTTTTGTTTTGTTTTTTTCTTCTTCTTTCTCTGTGTTATCTCAACCATTATCCACCTTGAGGATTTTCTAAGAACAGCTCAATTAAAGCATAGAGACCCAGAATTCTGAGAAAATCTCACCCAAGTTCACCTGATGCGAAGCAGGGAGCCAGTGGGGCACACAGGGCCCATGCTGGTACCTAACACCGGGTTCTGTGGGCTTCGTCCAAACTCGCAGAGGGTTTTTATAAGAGCTTATTTGAGCCAAACTGAGGTCAGATGCTGGGGAGCAAGATCTGAAATGCTCCCTATTTTTAATCTTTTGAGGAGCCTCCACACTGTTGTCCACAGTGGCTGCACCAGTTTATATCCCCACCAACAGTGCACCAGGGTTCCCTTTTCTCCACAGCCTCACCACACTTAGCTCAGCTTCTCGTTGTGATTTTGATTTGCATTTCCCTGATGGTTAGTGATGTTGGCTGTCTGTATGTTTTCTTTGGGAAATGTCTATTCAGGTTCTCTGCCCATTTTAAAATTTTAAAAATTTAAAATTTTAAAAACCCATTTTTAAATGGATTGTTTGGTTTCTTGCTATTAAGTTGTGTGAGCTCTTTATATATTTTGGATATTAACCCTTTACCAGATGTGTGATTTGCAAATATTTCCCCCATTCTATATGTCGCCTTTTCACTTTGTTGATGGTTCCTTTGCTGTGTAGAAGCCGTTTATTTTGATGTAGTCCCATTTATTTTGTTCCCTTTGCTTTAGGTGTCAGATCCAAAAAATCATTGTCAAAAGCAATGTCAAGGAGCTTACCACATAGGTTTTCTTCTAGGAATTTTATGGTTTCAGATGTTACATTCGAGTCTTTAATCCATTTTGAGTTAATTTTTTTGTGTGGTTAAGTTAGTGGTCCAGTTTCACTTTTTTGCATGTGGCTGTCCAGTTTTCCCAGAACCATTCATTGAAGAGACTGTCATTTCTCTATTGTATATCCTTGGCTCCTTTGTTGTAAATTAATTGACCACATATGTATGGGTTTATTTCTGGGTTCTCTCTTCTGTCCCATTGATCTATGTGTCTGTTTTTATGCCAATACTATACTGTTTTGATGACTATACCCTTGTAATATATTTAAAATCAGAGGGCCTCCAGCTTTGCCTGCTATCTCTCAAGATTGCTTGGACTATTGGGGGTCTGTTTGGTTCCATACAAGCTTTAGGGATTGTTTGTTCTATTTCTGTGAAAAATGCCATTGGAATTTTAATAGGGATTGAATCTGTAGATGGCATTGGTTGTATGGGCATTTTAACAATATCCTTTCAATTCATGAACACGGAATATCTTCCCATTTCTTTGGGTCTTCTTCAGTTTTTTTTCATTAATGTCTTAAATTTTCACTGTATTGGTCTTTTACCTCCTTGGTTAAATTTACTCCTGTGTTTTATTCTTTTTGATGCAATTGTACATGGGATTGTTTTAGTAATTTCTCTTTCTGATAGTTGGTTGTTAGTTTATAGAAACAATAGATTTTTTTATTTTGATTTTGTATGCTGAAACTTTACTGAATTTATTAGCTCTAACAGTTTTTTGGTGGAGTCTTTAGGGCAGTGGGTCTCAACCTTCCTAATGCTGCGACCCTTTAATACAGTTCCTCATGTTGTGGTGACCCCCAACCATAAAATTATTTTCATTGCTACTCTATAACTGTAATTTTGCTACTGTTATGAATTGTAACTATCTGATATGCAGGATGTATTTTCATTGTTACAAATTGAACATAATTAAAGCATAGTGATTAATCACAAAAACAATATGTAATTATATTGTGAAATATTTATTTCTAATTACAAATAAATGAAATTTTGTCTTGAAGCATGGAGATGGATAGAGGAGCGGTGTCTCAGTTCCTAAGACCATCGAAAATATATGTTTTCCGAAGGTCTTAGGCGACCCCTGTGAAAGGGTCGTTCGACCCCCAAAGGGGTCGCAACCCACAGGTTGAGAACTGCTGCTTTAGGGTATTCTTTATATAATATATCATCTGCAAATTGTGAAAGTTTTACCTCGCAAGTTTTGCTCCAGTTCAGATGTGTTTTCTTTATCTTGCCTAATTGCTCTGGATAGGACTTCAGTACTGTATTGAGTAAAAGTGGTAATAATGGACATCCTTGTCTTGTTCCTGATCTTAGAGGAAAAGCTTTCAGCTTTTTGCCATTGAGTCTGATTTTAGTCTTTGTTATGTTGAGGTACATTCCCTCTCCATTGAGTCTGATTTTAATCTTTGTTATGTTGAGGTACATTCCCTCTCTACCTACTTTGTTGAGATTTTTTTTTTTTTATCATAAATGGATGTTGAAATTTGTTGAAATGCCTTTTCTGCGTCTTTTGAGATGCTCATGTGATTTTAATCCTTTATTTTGTTAACATGTATCACTTTAACTGATTTGTGGTGTTAAACCATCTTTGCATGTCTGGAATAAATCCCACTTGATCATGGTATATGATCCTTTTAATGTATTGTTGGTTTGCTAATATTTTGTTGAGAATTTTTGCATCTATGTTCATCAGGGATATTGGCCTGTAATTTTATTTTCTCATGGTGTCCTTGTCTGGTTTTGGTATCAAGGCAATGCTGACTTCGTAAAATAGTCTGGAAGTGTTCCCTCCTTTTCTGTTTTTTTGGAAGAGTTTGAAGAGGACTGGTATTAATTCTTTAAATGTCTGGTAGACTTTACTTAGTGCAGCTGTCTAGTCCTGGGTTTTTGTATGTTGGGAGGTTTTTGGTTACTGATTCAATCTCATAGCTCACAATTAGTCTGTTCATATTTCCTGTTTCTTCATATTTCATTCTTTGTAGGTTGTATGTTTTAGGAATTTGTTCATTTCTTCTCGGTTGCTCAAATTGTTGGCATATAATTGTTCATGGTGGTCTCTTAAGACCCTTTGTATTTCTGTGGTATCACTTGTAATGTCACCTCTTTCATTTCTAATTTTGAGTCCCTTTTTTTTTCTGGTCAATCTAGTTAAAGGTTTATCATTTTTGTTTCTATTTTCAAAGAGCCAGCTTAGTTTCATTGGTCTTTTTATTGTCTTTTTAGCGTCTGTTTCACTTATTTCTGCTCTGATTTTTGTGGTTTCCTTCCTTTCAGTAACATTGGGCTTTCTTTTCTGTTCTTTTCTAGTTCCTGGAGGGATACATGATCCAGGTATTCTTAGCTGCACTTTTTAGGGTCTTTGCCTTCAAAGCCTGAGTGATGCTATGTTATCAAGGTGGCGCAGTTTGACATTGATGGGTAGTGTGGGAATTTTAGAGACTTCTGATGACGCTGCAATTCATTTATGAATCCATTTAATCTGCATTCTTTGAGCACCTGTGTCATGTGACATTGTGGTCTCAGTGCTGAGATGCCCGAGACACGGTTCTTATACTTTGATGGTGTCATCAAAGTCATGAATAAAAATATTTTCTAACTGTTCACATATCCAGAATGCAGTACAAGTGGATCCATGTTAAACTTGAAAGTTTTGGTAGCTTTAGGGAAAAAAGTAAAAAGCTTTGCATGGTATTGAGTAAATTTGTCATTCTAGGATGGTAATTACCAGTGGACTCGAGAAGACTTAGCTTGTGCTTTTGTACGTCACAGAGGAAGCTAGGGGTGGGTTAGTTGTATCTGTAGCTTTGAGAGGTCGTGATGACAGGAGGTGAACAGTCCTCGTTCCTGTGCTCATTATCAGAGACCAAGTAACAGCTCAAGTTCTCATTCAAACCAGTGCAGACCAGTACAACTCTTTCTTTGTTTTGTGAATATCTTGGTGACAGAGGATAAGTATTTAATTTCAGGAAGCTTTGTAATATATTGCATAAAGTCGTTTTCAGAAGATTGATGATATTTAGCCTTTACTTTCTCCAAAGTTACTATTTTTAAGCGTGATATTATTTTGTATTACCAGGTGATTTTTCATAGTGATGGGGTAGAGGAGGAGTTTCTACCTGCTTTTTTAATTTGAAAACTTGTTTTGAACTTCTACATCACTTCTTAGTTTCATTCTATAGATTGGACTTAAATACATGTTTCAAGTTAGCATGTGCTTTGAAATTAGACTATATATTTTCCAAATATTATAACAAAAGAGATTTTCATTCTTTTCGATTGTCTTGTGAAGCCCAGGAAGTCATCCTGCCTGGTTCCCAGGTGCTTTTAGGTGCTCTTCAGCTGGGCCTCTCTCGTGGGCTGGGACTCCTTCATTCTTCCTTCGTGCCAAAGAAACGTCACTGGCCTCAGCTTATTGACTGTTTAATGAGATTGTGTATATTCTGAGTTAATTTTTTCATAGTGATAGTTTAAAAGTTTTGGAATTTTGAGATATTCTAAAAAATAGTTTAAATAAGAATAATTCTTGATCTGATTCCTAACATCAAAATTTCTCCGTTTCTTTCTTTGTAGCCTAAGTGGTGGTGTCCATAAACTATTATCAGACTGATTTTCAGACAGGAGGGCGGCTCAGCCCCTGTGCGTGTCCTCCCTGTGAGCACGTCACCTGCCCTCTCTGTCTGCAGGGCTCCCGGCACCTGAGGCGCCTCCACTTCATTCACGTGCCGTTTGCAGCCTGGAGAGGCTGATGTGATGAAACAGCTCGCTTTCCCCCTTATTGTTCCTTGCAACTTACTGTTTTAAGTACAGCTTTAAAAAACATCCCGAGAGTATTAGTATGCATCAATAAGAGAAGCATAAAGTTACTGTATTTTTGTTCTGTAACTTCATATGCTGAAAATAAAGTGATGTCTTGATGATCTTTGAACACCATGGTGTTTAGCTAACTGTTCCTTTCGTATCACTGAAAGAGACTGCGCCGTCTCATTCCAGAATCAGTAACTCCATGGATTTCTTTTTGTCCTCACAGGATTGTTCAGGAGACAACTTTTGATTTAGGAGGAGATGTCCATAGTGGAACAGCATTACCAACAAGCAAGGTAGGTGCTTGCGTGGGACCTGATGGGACCATGTTTGTGCAGCTGTGGGACACCATAGACGGCTTCCTGGAAGTGTGTGCGTGAACTGGTGTGCAGACAGACTTCACAGTGGCTCTGCCTGCAGGTTGTCCCCATCTGCTGTGTTGTCGCTTAGTGACAGACCTCAAACAGGAGCACACTGGAGTTTTCCCTAAGATGAGGACAGCTGTGCTTTCTCCTCTGTGGTGTGCGCCTGGGCCTCTCGTGTGTCACTGGCCCTTCTTGGTCAGGTGACCCCTGAAGACCATGGGCTCCTGCTCTCCTTGACCCCTCAGCATAGACCCTAGCTCCTACCCACCCGCTGCCCTCCCAGGCACTTCGCTTGCACAGTCCGTTTATTTGTCTTCATCGTGGTCATCTAATGCTGGGGAACAAGCAGCCCTTACTCAGTGGCCTGGCACAGCGGCCACCTTGTGTGCTTACAGCGCGTGCCGCCTGGTTTGGACTCACCTGGGCCGTCATTTGCTGGTCTTGCTGATGGTAACTTGTGTGACTGCATTCACCTAGCTAGTGGGCTAGTTGGTAGCCAGGCTGTGCTGGGACATAGGGATTCCTGTTATTTCTCTGTCACCTCAGATTCCCTGCATGGGACCTCTCGCCCCATCATGTCTCCGTGAGGCAACCTGACTTCTTGGTACTGCGAGAGCCACGGAATTTACAGGTCTCCTGAAGGCTTGGCCAGGAGCTCACACAGCGTGGATTCTTCCACCTGCCGTTGGTTAAAGCGAAGCTCAGGCCCTGCCCAGATGGGGGGAGGGGCTTCACCACGGCTCTGCCGCCACAGACCCCCACAGTCCTGGAACATGCTCATCAGCCTCAGGACATGTGTGGTGGCCCTGTTTTTAGAAGCCCTCACTGTCCCCTCTAGCTGTTGCCCCCCAGGCTTCTGCTCCTGTTCACAGCATGATTTCTTGAAGACATAATCTGTGGTGGCCATGTCCACTTCCCATAAGTCCCGTGTTCTTTCCTCGGCTCCTGCTCCTTCGTAGGGACTGTGCTGGTTGCGCGCGCTGACGACCCCCAGGTGGCCAAGCCCGTCTTGCTCTCCGTCTGGCTGGCTGGCTCACCGCCACTTACTTGGTGCACTTTTTTTCAGCTTCCAGGTGTCACTCTTCATTTCTTCCCACTTCAGTGCTTGTACCTCCTCCTCCTCCGCTTCACTTCTCAAATTTGGGGGGTGCTGAGGCTTCAGACCTAGAGCCCTCCCCTCTGTTAGTCTCTGCTCCTTAGGCGATCTCACACAGTTGCCTAAGTCACAATACGACCGTCTTTGTTAAGTGCTCCTGACTCTGGCCCTGACCTCTCCATGCTCCAGAGGCTTGCTTGACATGCTGTGTGAATAGCTGACACGTATTTCTGGTTTAACACAGCTGAAACGAACTAGGTTTTCTTTCTCCAGCATCCGCCTTGCCCTGGTCCTTCCTGACCGCAGTAAAGGACGTCCCATCCACAGGGCTGTCACAGGTTGTCCTCAGTGCCTTTCCTTCACGCAGCCTCTGCATCCGTCATTCACAAGTTCTGTTTGCTCTGCCTCTGAACTAGTCCTCAAATGTCTGCCTTTCTCCATCGTCACCGAGAGGTCTGGCTTGGACTGCAGTCGTCACGTGGCAGGAGCGCCGCATAGCTCCTTAGATGGATGGCAGCCTTCTGTTCTGCCCTGGCTCCTCACTGTCCTGCCAACACCAGACTCGGGTTTGAAAGATGTAAATGAGATTCTGTTATCGTCCCGCTTTCAAAGATCCTGGTGGCTTCTCACCCCAAATATCACAGTCTTCACTCGGGCTCCTGCGGCGCCTCCCTCTGAGCTTAGCGTGTGCTGGCCCTGGCCGGTCCCTGCACGCAGGCCTCTGCTCTGGCCCCTGACCACCTGCCCAGTCCCATCTGAAGGCCCACGTGTGTCTGCCCTTCCGAATGCTCTTTACGCTGTTCGCACATGGCGACCCCCGTATCTCAGACCTCAGCTTCAGGCACCTCCTTGATGGCAGTGGTCCTCAAGCATCCGGGCACCATTACCACAGCTTGTTTCAAGCTCTTTATGCAGCCTTTACTCCTGGCTGAGCTCTTGTTTGTTGATTGACTGTAGAATGTGAGCTCTTGCTGGGTAGGCTCACAGCTATACCTTTGGTGCTTAGAGAAACGTGGTGCACGATATAGTCCCAGTAAAGATCTCTGGAATAGCTGAATGAATAGACACTCTTGGGACCAAATATAACTGTCTTTATAAAAATGTTAGTTTTCATAAAATGTTTAGTCAACATAGAAAATTTGGTAAATTGAAAAATAAAAGTGAAAACCATTCATTCCTTCACAATTTATAGTTGGCTATTGATAACATTTTGATGGACGCTTTTCTGAATCTTTTCTGCATGTACGTGCATTAATTTATACATTTTAACATCATTAAATCTGTACACACACACACATACACACATATGTGTACGTGTGCATACACAGACCTTTCTGTCCTGCTTTCTTAGGCTGTTATTTTCTGAGGGTTTCTTTTGAAAATCATTTGAAAACAAACTAAAATTGTTTTGTAATATGTTCGTGTATAAACATGCCATAATTTGTCTATCTTTTGCCTTGTTATTCATTTAAAACAATTTTTAGTAGTCTGGGTATTACCATCTGCTGACCAAGCAGTTTTTTTTCTATAAATGTATCTTATTGGAAGTAATTATTGTCTATGAATATATATATTTATGGGCACGATTGTCATGATTCTATACTGATGAACATTTTAAACAACATAAGGGATTGGTTTAATGAACTTTGATGAACAGACAACAAAATGTTTTATGGCCGTTACAGTTCTGTAACGTAAAATAATATTGTAGGATGTTCACAACATGAAAAAGAGTATTTTGTTTACAAATTGGACTGTATAGTCTCATTTTTGGAAAATGAAAAACTGGAGAGCTATATATGGCATAATGTAATCTCCAGTTGGTAAAACAAGGATGGTTCTGTCTTACTTACCTGTGCTCAGTGTCTGCAGTTAACAGATGTGGTGAGGCATCTTACATAAAGGTAGTTTGCTATGGTCGATTTCTGTGTATCAGTGTATTGATTCTGTTCTGATTGTTTTCTTGATATAGGTAACTCATCCTTTTTGTCTGCTGTAGGTTGGTTAGGAATGTGTGCTCTTTGAAAGAGTTTAAATATGCGGTGTTGGGTTGCTATACATGTGTGCTTTTCCTGTGTTGACTAAGGGCAAGAAATAAACCAGTTTCTATACTGAATTCTTCATAGGTATTGAGTTATAAAGAGCAGATTTTAAAATATTTTCTTAAAACTAACAAGGAAAACAGAAGACCCTAACTCTTCACGTTGTGCACATTCTCTCAGGCCTTCCTGATTTAGGAGAACTTTTTGGAAATAAAGTCAGTGTCGTTGCCATGCTTTGGAGAACCCTGTGTGTATGTACCGCTTCTGAGTGCCTGTGTTATAAAGCAGCTTCTAGCTCCTCGGAAAGGAAGGTGGCTCTGTGTTCCCTGTTCTTCGGTGACAGTTAATGACAGTGTGTCTTGGGCGTGCCACTCCTCGTGGACATGCCGTCCCCAGCGTGCTGTGCATTTCCGGTCTGTGCTCGTGCTCTGCTCCCGTGTCGTGCTCTCCCTGCTTGGCAGCCTTGCAGCACAGCTTCACTTGCAGCGCTGGGTGTGAAGCGTGGGGAGGTGTGCAGTGTCTTAAACGCCCTGCGTCTCCCTTCCTCTTGGCCCAGAGCACCACGAGGCTGGACAGCGACAGAGGGCCGTCTGCCTCCAGCACAGCCGAGCGAGGGATGGTGAAGCCCATGGTCAGAGTGGAGCAGCAGGACTACCGCAGGCAAGAAAGCAGGTAGGGGCAGCTCCGTCTTAGTCTCAGAAGAGGGAGCGTCCCGAGGGGGGA